TTACAAGCTGACCACTCCACTTTGATTTTCCGGGTTTACAAGCTCAAGTAGCAGTGGTCTACGGAGATGGGGTTTTGGGGGGGGGGACACATACATTTAAAGTGATTAGCCCTTAAGGCACACAACTCAGATTAAATCAGAACTCACCCTTAACGCTCAGCAAAAATAAGTACGTGGTGCAAAAACATCGTTACGTTTCTGCGTGTCCAGTTCAGAGGAATGACTTGTGACATATTACCCCACGAACCACCCTTACAAACTCTTCTAGACCTCCTCTCCTTCATATCCATAATTTGCTGCATCCCCCCCCCCTTTCATGGCAGCGGACTTAAGAGGAAAACACTATGATTAACAACGGAACATTAGTTTAAAATCTCAAAAGGCCAACACTGGACATTTCAGACAGCAGACCGCCGATACTGCCTCAGGGTAAGTAGGAGAAACGCATTCCAAGGAAAAGTGGTACAAATCGTTGCTTGGTTTATTCAACGGCGCGTATCCTATGCGTAGGATTCGTGGCAGGAGGGCAGAGAATTGCAAAACTGAAGATCCGTTGTCTACTTCAGGCACTACCCTGGTTTACTACACTGGTCACATGACGTAAGACAGGCGAAACAGTGTGAATGAAGAAATTTAACAATAAAACTTTTAGAGATTCCCAGTTTGAGCCAGTTATATTCAATCCATAGATAGTTTTATCGTATTATTATTATTTGGATTTTATTTTTGGGTTCCTACATGCATTTTAATATTATCCTCCCATCCCCTTTTCTCTTCATTAGATATTAACTCTCTAAAACTTTGTATATATTTCTAATATGGTCCATGTGTGTTAATGTCCTGACGAACTTATTTCTTATTATTTAGTGTTCTGTCTGACGACAGGTCCATATGAACAGGATCCTTCCATCCTTTTCTCGGACTGGGACCTGTTCATATACGTTCTTGGCAGATGATCCAGAAGTGGTTTGCCATTGCCTTCTTCTGTGTGTGAATGGAGTAATTGTTGGGATGCCACGGAGGAAAACTCCGTGTTGCCTAGACCACGGCCTTGCCCAAAACAAGTTATAAATTCGGGCACCGCCGGGAATCGAACCCACGCCTCGAAAAATTACTGATTATCGAAATGTAACTTCCAACTTTTACATCCTCTCTCTTGGGTCTCAGAATTGTCCTCGGTTGAGCACACTTTTCTCGAACACACTCAGACCACGTTCTTCCCTGGCGGTATGCACGAGCTTCAGTTTAATTTAAAACAATAAAACTTACTTTCGTCGAGATAAAATACGGTTACATTTCACAAGCGGCGACTAATCTTGCACATGAGATCAGAGGCGGGGAAAATTATGAACTCGACAGAAGTACTTGAGTCGCTTACGAACTGAGGGCTAAGGCGACGAAGGGGAAGCCAAGTGGATTGGACAGGGAGCATTCTGAACGGAATTTTTAAGACGCGGCGAGAACTGTAGTTGGAGGAAGTTACTCAAAGGGGTTTCAGACTTCCGATGGCTAGGTGAGCGTTAAATCATCCTTCAAAAGGGTGGTGGAGAACCACCAGTCCTTAAATGGGTTCTTGGGAGTTCGTCCAATTGGGCTGAGAGGGCACATTAAACATGTCCTGTCCTTGTGCAATGTAAAATCAACTTAGTTTAATGTTTCTCGACGTATCCCACGCAGTGACTATGTAACAGTCCGATATCTCACGGCATACAAAATCAGATATTATTGCAAAGTTCTGTGTGTGGATTTCACGTTCTCATGGCGACCAGCATGAATTATGGACGTTGCACCGCGTAGTTTCGTAAAAACTGACCAACTTCCTCGCGACAGTAAGCGCCTCTGAAACGTCACCCAATGCAACATCCCAAAAGATAAAAATTTGTGGGAGAATGATTTTGAAGTACCCTCTGAAGACAACGAGATTCTACGGCGGAGGATGACAGAAGACTTAATATTTTACACGTGGTAACAGGGATGGATTTGGGTTAAAACAATACGCAAACTGTCTCACCCTTGTTACAACCCAAACATTGCACCTAGAAGGAAAACTGAATTAATAATGACTAATCCTAAAGCAGGGGTTGAATCAAGGGTTTAGGTAAAGCCAAATATCTTATGAGGTTTACTGACAATAATTGCGTAAAATATTCATGTTCGAAGCACGAGCACAGGAAAGCAAGCTCAGTCTGTTGTCTGTACGGAATGAACAAGTCACAAACAGGGTCTAATTTTCGAAAATATAAAAAGTCTTGACCTTAAATCCATACTGCAAAATAATACATTAACTGCGACTAGGTGGCAGCTGGACGAATTGGGTTCGAGTCCCAGTAGGGCAAAATATCTCTACCACCGTCTAACGAAACTTTAGGCCAACCCTGATTACTACTCAACAGAAATCGGGGGATCTCCCCCAGGAAAGGTAAGACGGCCGCAGCGTGAAGGTGATGACTCACATTCAGCTAATGTCGAAGTAAGAATGTGTGGAGCTTTTAGCTCCACAATCACCGCGTGGCGTTTACGCCACAACCCGATCTCCAGAAGTTGTACCATGAGAAGCTAATATTGGCGACGACATAGGAGAGGCTCTTCAGCAACCCAGTCCTTACACCCTCCAAGACGTGGATAGGCTCTTACAGAAATTGTTTCTAAGACATCAAATTTATTTTATCAGAACAGGTCCAGTATAGAGCTTACGTTAGTGTTGCTGGGACTTAACTGAAAATTACAAGGAATTTTTATTCGTTTTTTTGTGTAGCAGGAACTTACCATTACTTTGAGATCCAACAACTTAAGTGTCGAAGACACGTAGAGTTCCTTCTCACCGCGCATGCGCCGATGTCGCGTACTCTTGCGTACCCGGCCATCTCCAGGCGTCGCGGAACCACAAGACGACGTAGCCAGTTTTGGTCGTTTCGCATCAAAGCCCTGAAAGATTGGATCACGTAAGGCCTTAGAAGTGGTTCTTATTTACGTATGTTAGCACGTATTTACTTATTTGCTATTTCTAATTTATTTTTTTAACAAGAGAACTAGAATGAAGGTGAGTGAGATCCACACTCCCTCCACTTTTTCTCAGCCACAACGGAGATCCACAGAGTCGTTCTGCATCAGATGAATCTGAAAGTGATAACGAAAATCTTGACATGGCCGATTTCAAAAGCGAAGGGATGTCAGTCTGATGGCACACGTTTTGTGGATATAAACATTAACTAAGTTCGCAGAGCACAGTCCTTCTAGAGAAGATGCTAGTCGCTCACCTTGTTAACAAAATCCTTGCCTCTATATGAAACCGAAAAATGTACTATCATGTTCGCGACAACCCACCACTGGTACCTATTTTGGGACAGATAAATTCAAACCACATATTCCCACCCTAGCCAAAACACACCTAATACTTAAAAAATAAATAAAGAAAAACATTATTTATAACGGTCCCGATGACCAGGTTTCGATACCAGACATTAGGTACCGGGAGTCCTTTCCCCAGGGACAAAGCAGCTGGGATATAAAGCTGACAACTCACCTCAATCTAGTGCCAAGGTAAAGTCTTCGTGGCGTGGTACTTAATGAATAACAGGGCCAACATTACCTTCTTACATTTATTAACTGGCTAAATATATACTGATGAAGGAAAAATAACCACCACAGAGTTGGCTAACAAAAAAAAAGTTAACGTAAAGTTACCCTGTGTCTAAGCCCCACAAGAAAACACAAAGATGCGCTGATACAATGCACGCATTCTCGACTACAGCACGAGATAAAGATACAAACCAGCTTCGCACTCGGGCCGTTTTACGACAGATAACGGAAGGAAGGTAATCTTAATGTAGCCTCGATTCTGTCAGGAATCGAACTCCGCTCGTCCAGTCCGTAGCCGGTAATTTCACAAAAGGCTCACCGTACGAAAGGCGATGTTGACAAAATGAACAGCACAACTTGGAATTTGGAGGCGGGCAAAAAAATAAAGTGAAAATGTAACAAACCGAATAAAGAACCTTCAGAGTCATCTCACTGGGTTCTGCACTTCAACCACTACATCTCCGACGTCTTACTGTACTGCCTACCTCTTTGCACCGCCCCGTCTCGGCGCCCTGTAGTTCCCCATTTCACCCACAAAAATCCTCTTTCTATAGCACTTGGGTCACCAACAATAATTCGTATATGTGCGAAGCTCTTGCGATAAGTTGATATAATCTCGTTATACGCGGGTTTGCGTTTCTGCGAATAGCCGCGTATATAGAAAACGCATAAAACGGGAAGTGCATAACAGGCCTGTGGACTTTATGAGATATATACCACGAGAGGTCTTAATTTTCAGTCTCCGGAGACAAAATATCTCGGTACCCAAGTGAAACTCAATTCGCCTGCGCGGCAGCTCCTAGCGTGGCTGCGGATATGATACTGATGTTCCTTATAATACTGTTATATATCCGCGGATATGAACAATAACGTTCAATCCATGCCAGGAAATTCTATGTTACGGAGCTGCTCTCTACCATACAGAAATTCGAACAAAATTTTGTACAGGTTTTTAGTGTTCTTAACACGTGCTCATTTCCCTGCCCATATAGGCAACAACGGCTACAGAATTAAGCAGAAATCTATGAGTCACTTCAGAAAATCCACAACAAAAAGGAAGCCACTAAAAAATATCAAAAATCACTCAAGCGACTGGAGCATAAACCACGTATTTAAAACTTCATTTGTACAGAAATATGCAAGATAAAACTTTGGCAAAGTCTGTGTTCATGTATGGAAGGAAAGTACGAACGCCGATCAAAATGAAATTATGGGAAATGCAGGACAAATCACAAACGTAACGAAGACATTTCATTAAATTAATAGAACAGTAATGGAAAGACAGCAGAATATCAAGGCAGATTACATCGTATTTAGCTTCGAAGAACGAGGTTAACTGATGAGACGGCATGATTGCGTAAGATGTGAGAGAACAGGACGGTGAGGGCAATGATGAACATCCTTGTGGTTCAGTATGTAATTCAAAGCTTTAACTGAAAACTGCGAGAAGGGTCTTTGCTGCCGGCTTGCCGGGCTCAATAGTTCGGTTGTAGGAAACGAACAAGCAAACGCGTCTAGTGTAGTGAATGGAGGGGGCCGAAGCCGGAGGAAGGGGTCTGCTCCTCTCACTATTTCCTGGCGACGCAACGACACCCGCGATTCTGCCGGCGTCTTTCCAGTCAGCTTTGCAGCCGGCGTCGGGACGCCGACGTGTTTCCGATTCACGGCCGAAGAATGAAACGGGGGCGGGGTGGGGTAACAACCGAAGAAAAGGCGACAGTACACAGAAATATAGGTGAAGACACCGAAGCATGTCGTTTCTTTGTAATAGCTATTTAACGACGTTTCAACTGCAGTGTTTATAAGGAGCCAAATGACACTAAATGATTGTGAGTGGTAAGCAGATAAAGATCTCGTGATATATTTAAGGTACCACGGTGGTCTAGCGGTTAGAACGCTGGCCTTGTAATCCTGGGGTCTCGGGATCGATTCCCGGCGGTGCCCGAATTTATAACTTGTGTTGGGCAAGGCCGTGGTCTAGGCAACATGGAGTTTTCCTCCGTGGCATCCCAACAATTACTCCACTCACACACAGAAGAAGGCAATGGCAAACCACTTCTGGATCATCTGCCAAGAACGTATATGAACAGGTCCCAGTCCGAGAAAAGGATGGAAGGATCCTGTTCATATGGACCTGTCGTCAGACAGAACACTAAATAAAACCGGCGGGGCCCGAATTTTTAACTTGTGTTGGGCAAGGCCGTGGTTTAGGCAACACGGAGTTTTCCTCCGTTGCATCCCAACAATTACTCCATTCACACACAGAAGAAGGCAATTGCAAACCACTTCTGGATCATCTGCCAAGAACGTATATGAACAGGTCCCAGTCCGAGAAAAGGATGGAAGGATCCTGTTCATATGGACCTGTCGTCAGACAGAACACTAAATAAAATCCATGTTTGTCTGAGGGCTGAGGGAAACAACGACAAACCTGTTAAGGTAGTCGATAACAAGGCCAAGATTCAAACTGGGTACCTCCAGAATTAAACTACAGAGCGTCACCGCTGGACAAACCTGTTTCTAGTTCCCTCGGTCGTGTTTACGTGCATTCCAGTTATCGTGAATAAAGCAAGCATACAGGCAGTAGCAACTAGCTTCAGGAAGACACATCAAGCAATCATAGTTAAGTGCATTCCGAGCAATGCATTAGAGCATTCAATGGATGCCCGTCTCAAGACATAAACTATTAGATGGAAACAAAACATTTCCTTAGGGTATTCCAGTGGTCCCATCACAAGCTGATCAATAAAAACTGCACTTGATCTATCAATACAACATACGAACAGGTTAGGAATATAACAACGCGATGGATTTGCAAACAGAAGATGCAAAGTCCGGTTCTATTAGAGGGCAGAATACTAACACGGAGATTTTATGGTTTTCTCTGTTTGTAAAAGGAAATTCTTGAACAGTGAATTAGACCAAAGAAACAAAATTATTTTTGAAAATTAAGCTTTGTTTCACAGATAGATTGGCATAGGTTTAAGTTAAATATGTACGGATTTTTAACAAATGTTGGATAATAAAGCCATTACACTGTAAGTGGTTTCATACGTAAACCACACATAGAGACCACTAAACAAAATGTCACGATCCTCAAAACATGAAAAGATTAGACACAAAGAACAACCACCAAGAATTATAAAACAACAATACTGATAACGGTGATTCTTAGGAAGACGCATATAAACACGAAAAGATTCTGTTTTATAATACACCTGAGACAGATTAAGTGGCCCAGAGTAACGGTCACTAAATCGCATGTTTCAAAGCCACGGAAGGGCTTCAACCCCTGCTACCTTAACGAGCCCCCTCCAAGTCAACAGTACAACGTTGCTACGCTGCGAGTTTTGAGCTGTATTCAATCGCCTGGGGATCCGTTGCTCGAGTTTGTTGTGACCTTCGGGTACGAAATCGGGTAATCGCTACTTCAACACTGGCAATTCCTATGAATGATTAGCGACACTAAATCTACAATTTCACATGTTATACAGCATTAAACGACACAGCTATCATAGACGATTTGTTATACCGGAAGCGGAACGAGTGGCAGTGGCTTCATTATAGAAATTGGCCGAACATTTGCGAATAGAGACTGTGGAAAAGTACCAAACACTTTGGCATAGCCAACATTTACGTCTAAAATAAACCCGGGACCTTCTGAACATAGCAAGAGTGCTAATCAGTCAACCACTACGTTCCATCGAAAAGATCACAATGATTATGATGAAATTTTAGAAAGCATATGTGGCTTTGGGCAAATCAATCACATGTTTTAAATTAAAGCAGAAGGCCTATTCGAACTCATAATATCAAACCGGGGGTGGTATATCACGTTAGTAACAAGCACAACCTTGTAAATAAAAAACAAGAAATAACACGAACGGTAAAAAAATATGAGGTATATGTCGAAGGAGCACCCTATACCCCAAAAAATAGTTAGCATGTACTCGTGAAAAGGAAATCGACAATCGTCATCGTCATTCTAAATTATAGAACAGAAGACAGCCAGCTCCAGGGATAAAAGCATTTCGATTCTACAGAAGGAAGAAAGACGCCAAGATTATTAATAGCGTGTTTAATGATAATAATTATCCATTCTTAATAATTTTAGAACTGAAAAATTTGTTGATAAGAGCCATCAGTGAGTTCGTTGGGGCCTGCAGTATTCTAAAAGATACAATCGCTACATAAAAGCGGTTCCGAATCTAATAGCATCCGCGATGAATAACCACGTCACCACACGCAAGAGAAGGAAGACACTTGGCCTACAATGCAGGGTCCTACTTAATCAGCTGACAGTTAATCACATGTTACAAAAAATTGCTTCTATTTATCAAACGCGGATGTTCATAGCCGTGTTTGAAAATTCTGTCACTGGGACCGACCTTCTCATCCTAAATCTTCAAAATACTCATTAATGTTGTCCTCCCATTTATTGGTACGTGTGTCCACCAAAATAACATTATTATACCTTCTTTGAATAAAATATACCTCCTTTTATGAAACACGAAAGTTCATAATACTATTTACAAAAGCTCATCACAGAATTTTACCTTCAGCCAATTCATTCCAATCCATATCTCAACACAATCTACATCTCTACGACCCACTTTAATATTATCCTCCCATGTATACCTGTACATAACCACCGCGAATGCAGGTAAAGTTCCAAGCATTGATATCCTCAGCACTGGATGGAGAAGATCACCTTCGCTCTCCGGCCGTTTTATCCACAGAACAACGCTCGGTGGACACCAGAGCAGATCTAGAAACGGGGGAAACCTAACACCGGTCCTCGAACCTGTGACCAGTCACTTTACTAGCCGTTGCCTCAATATTTGTCACTACTGTTGACAATTCAAAACCAAATTTTGAGTGCGTTTCCCTCATTCGTGCTGAACAGCAGATTCAATGTTTAAATCTTGATCTGTTCCAACGACAGCTAAAACTGCAAACGGACAGACTTGAAAACAGAGGCATGTAACAAACATTGAAAAACCAGCGTAAATCAATAAAAACAATATTTCCATTTCATCTGGAAGTTAGACAGAGATCTTGAAGATATATTTCAGAGTCTGTGTCATGCAAAATTACACGAAATTCTCGTTACTTAGATGAAACTTACATCACATTTTTGTGTTTAATACTCCACTGATTCCATACATGAACCGCTTAAAAGACAATGTTCTTCGTTGCGTAATTTATTCTTTGGGCAAAATATTTCTTAAGCAAAGACAATGTTCTTCGTTGCGTAATTTCTTCTTAGAGCAAAATATTTCTTGAGAACTTTCTTCAAACAAAACAAACCTAATACTGCCCGAGGAACGTTCTCAGTTATAAAACCCAAACATATTATCTGTCTTGCAGTGTTTCATATATCAAGGCTGAACGCTGTTATTAAGAATGAAGTGTCATTATGAATTGTCAAATGTTTATGCCCACTATCTATATCAGGATCAAGATGTCTCAGATACAACATATAGATAAAACATACTGCTACAATTTAACGTGATAAATCAATAGCGATATTTAAATCTGAGAATATTATTCATATTCATGAGATACCGGCGAATAAATTAGATACACTTAGTATCCATATACTACACACATAATGCATCTGTTGATATCTTATTAAACTTATCATTATGGAAGCTACACGATAGGGTATTAAGAGCTGAAGACGAGACTTGAAATGTCGGACAAATCTGAACCGTTGCCTGTTTAAAAAGATTTTATTATTTTCATTTTAAACGATCTCGTTAATATTTCAACAGTCACGTTTCGACCACACATGTCCGCAGCGAAACATTTATAACAAGACGTTCAACTGATACTGCATTTTGTAAGAACGACAAACGTTGGTCAAATTTGAAACAGGAAGCGTTACATATTAGAGATATGCCATAACACAGATAAATAAACACGCCCGTAGACCAAAGAAGAGATGGCCGGTTAGTGAAACCACGGGCCTATAGGCAGAACATATGAGACAAGAAACTAACACAGTATTTTGGCAAGGAAACGTTTTAAAAATCAACGATTTGCATACCAAGTAAGGGGACGGATAACATGGAGTTAGACTTTTTTTTTCTGAGGATCGGAGATGGATAGAAAAGATTCAGTATAGTGTCCAGTGGCGGAGTCTTCGGGTTCGAATAGCAGAGAGTTAGCCAGTTATTAAACGTTATTTATAGGGCTAATCACTATATTGTGATATTATATAGCAACTGTGGATGCAAAGTTCCAAGCATTTTTACTTCATCTCAGCACTACGATCAAGTTAGGGGTCAGCTTCTTGCTCTGGCCTCCTTACCCGACACCAAAGCCGGTCTGGACATGTAGAGATAACGAAAATTTCTGCCCAAATCGGGTAATGTAAACCAGGTCATCCAGCCCGTAATTAGTCATTATGTTGATAAGTTTATTACGCATTTCCTTCTTAAAATTCACCGATGTAAATAAATGCATGCGAAAGTAAAATTCTAGAAATTCAAGGTGCAGGCTAGCAGCTGGATAGTAAAGCAGTGACTCGAAGCGAAAGACATACAACTTGCGCGTGGCGATAATGATAATGTTAATCCAATTATTACTGTCAGTAAAATCCTGATATACCACCTCGATAGAGTTCCGGTATTACATTAACCGGCATCTTATAAGAATTCTAAGACGAAAAGATTTTAAGCGCAGAATCATCTCCCATTCAAAAACTGTAATTTAACTAAAAATACATTCTGAGGAAGAGGTCACATAATAGACCCCAAGCAGTAAATTAGAGGATAATATTAAAACAGATCTGAAGTACATTTCGCTAGCCCAGAATATGCCGACTGTCTCCTACGTTACGAATGCCGTGTAGTCTTGTAGAAGGTTATCAACGTTTCGAATTAACCCTGAAGACGGAGGCGATACGTACCTCCGAAACGTCGGTAACTAACTACAGAACTATACAACGTCGCAATCCGGAAGAAAAACTACTCAATCGACTATGTGACTATCGATATACACTCTGTACTGTGGAGCTGGTTATGCTGAAACGTCCACCAACCTGGTATTCGGGATCATCTTTGTACTCCGACACAGCACTACCACCGTCACGCCCACTGTCCTGCGACTGGCACTTGTTACTGTCAGTGTCGGCAATCTTCCGGACAAATATCTTCGCTTTTTTATACTGCAAAAGTTCCATTTCCTCCACCTCGAGCCGCGCCAGCACACATTCTTCGCATACATCTGCAACGTAATTACAAAGAAATTCTCGAAATAAATTATGACGTTACCTTCCTTCGTACACAGGCTAGCAAGAATTAAATTAGTCGAAGTTCCATTAATTATTGCTATAAGAATAAAGCCGCGTACAGATTTCGTCCGTCTGCGTAATATTAAACAAAGAGGATATTTTAAGGAAGATCACAAATTGGCACAAAGGGGACTGAATTCAGTTGGCACTAAATACTAAAGTACTGACTTCGGCCGAAGTTTGCAACAAATTTAATATTTTATTAAACAATATAAATTTATAAGTCAGTCAGTCACATATACCCGGACAGTTCGCTGGTAGGTCAATTACCTGCCCAGTTATTTAGACATTCAGTTTTTTAATTAGGACAGAAAATTAGTCAACTGACAGTAAGTCAGTCACTACAGTCTGATAAGCTTGTCGATAAGAAAAATAGTTGAGGATCTACAAATTTATTATCTTTATTGCGATAAGATAAAACTTCAATGTAACATGGAAGAAGATTTTAACAATAAATGGGAGTAAAAAAACTTTCACGATATCCAACGACACGTTTAATGATTACGACCGTACCCAATCGTACCAAAGAACACAATTTCCGTCCACTTTTAACAACACTCTTAGCAGACTGGAATAGTAAATGAGATTAAAGTAATAGTGAGTCCAAAAATAAAATAACACTTCCGTGATTAAGATTCATACAAGGAAATTACCATCATACCATACCGTCAAAGAATAAAACAAGGCTTATAAGTTCTGACATAAAGCTCATAACGAAAGCTGACTATAAAATAAATTATCAGTCAGCTACTGTGCTTAGCGTAAGACAGGTAGATTATGAGGAACTGAACAGTCATACATATTTCAATCATTTCACCATATTAAACGCTGTACATCATTAGACACAGCGGTTCGCTACAAAAACAACAGATTCTTGCGGATTTACGAAGCAGAAATGAGAGAAGAAATGTCTACCGTTCACGACGTCTTAAGAACTGCGGTCATTATGCCACTGAGAGGCGGAAATTATTAACAAGACCACAGCAGAGGTATTCCTGACGTTCACTAAGTTTCTGTAAGAGGATTAAAGTATCTTCAACGAAGTAATATCTGGCTCTTGACTTCCGTTTCTTGAATCTCTCATCATCTTAATTTTTTTTGTTATAATACGATGCTATTACACTGTCGCATTTGTTAAATTAATCAGATACAATTCAGACACTGACAACGCTAATAAGTTTGAATGCAAAGGAACTGAATATTCTACACCTCGTGCAAGAGAACAACTTTGAACACTTATTCGGTAAAGAGACAAACCGTTAAAGATAAATGCCAATTTAATCTGAAGGTTTGTGACGATGGTGTATTGTTAAAACAACGAACACTCTGCATATTATCCATCGTCTTAATTTTTGTTCTGGTGTATTGTTAAAACAACGAACACTCAGCATATTATCCATGGTCTTAATTTTTGTTTAAAAAAATACGACGTATTTGCCAATGTTAGTTAAGTTGTTCGTTCCTTACATCACGTTCATAAAACGAACGCATAATCCGGAGGTCGTGTCCGTCTGACCACATGTTTGATCTACAAACTACAAAGCGAATCTCGATCAAATTAGGCTGTGTCCGTCTGACCACATGTTTGATCTAAAAAAACAAAGCGAATCTCGATCAAATTAGGCGAGTATTAGGTGACTTACAATGAAAGATGTTGAGAAAATTTCATTTTGGTCCAGAGCTGTACAATAAAACAGCAACTCTACACGAAAACAATCCAGCTTTATCGATTTCTTAAAAATGTTCAATCATACGAAATATCGGTACATGACACAAAACACGATATATATTGGAAAAAGTAAATTTTCCCGGTATTTCGTTAAACAGACATCACATCGAAAAGTGTTCAAAATAAAAGTTGAATATTATATTGAGAGACACACGTTGCCATATTTAAGAGTGTCAACAGTTTTAACAGACAGCCGTGTATCTTCAGTAAATGGGCCATCTGCATCGACAACAAATTATTTAACACCTTGTGTAAGTATTATTCATTAACTGCTAATGTTATAATGAATAAGTTATGAGGTTTGAATAGGTTACATCAAAGATTATATATAGTGAGAAATATATATCAACAAAATAATAAAATTTACTATTAAGGTGGCTGTCTTGTTACTCACAGCCGTGAGAACCTCAAATCCTACTGCGTTACCATCAATATCATTAATCACAACGCTTTGAATACGGAAACAATTCACAAAACTCGTACAAAGACATACACACAGAACAAGATTCAGTGATTCGCGATAGCAGAGTCGCCTACCGGATGGACGACCTGCGTTCGATTACCGACAGGGACCTTTCCCTTCGCCGACGACGTCCGTACAGGGTCAGGATCCAAATACCCACAGGCACACGGAGCTTTCATGAAATGGTGTGTTTAAACACAAGGACAGGTTTTCTTTTATCTTATTTGGTGTGGTGTCAGATAATGAACTACATTCCAATATGCGGCCACGTGGGAAAAGGTTGACAAACAGAGGTATGAACTGCAAGACAGAAAAGTGGAGAAATTACGAAATAAATACCGGATGAAATGGTAGAGACATTTCGTTGGGCCTCGTCATGAACGGTAGAAAGATTTAGATCTCTCTGGGACTGGCTTATATACAAGTCCAAAGCCCGACCACAGAAGACTACTCTAACCCACACAGATGAGCATCTCTTTCACAACTCATTTGCAATGCTAAGTTGCATCCAGATTTCGTATCCCTGAAGTAAGATCTAACTAGCAGTTTAAACCATAAACGAACTAAATAAAACGTAATTCACAAATTTAGTTTCCAAACTTACTCAGAATACTCCACAGTAATGGACCGATGAAGTTAGGACAACGGTACCTGGGAGGTGCACGATTCGAATCCCTATCGGAACAGTGACTACCATATTTACTTGATTTCATCAGGCCTTCTCGGAGAATGTAGGGACGGTCCCTTAAGTCAGGAAGCAATTTCCGTATCATCTCCAGTTCACAAAAAAAAAACCCTAATACCTACGCAGTAACGTCATGATGAAATGGTTGGCCATTCTGCTTCGTATTCTTGAAGTCGGTAAACTTCTACCAGACTACAAGGCGCAATAACCCAGAATACAGCCATCTTCAAAGTTAAAACAATTTATAATAATCATATTCCGACGCCACTCGGCGTTAACTAACACTTACGATTTAACAGCGTTGTTAAATAATCTGCGAAAGAACAAATCATGGTCAAATCACTAGGACTTGGGAAATTAAGCCCATTTCATGATGTAGTACGTAAGTCTACCAGCAACTGCCTTTTGCAGGCCCAACGTTCTGTATTCATTCAGGACATACACGATACGGTCCGTGGACCACTATCAAATGTAGTATGCACTTTACAACATCCGGTGTCAGGAAGAAATCCTGACTATAACTTTACGAATGTATAAGCAATAAGTGTACCCTCTAGAACGTAAGAAGCAATGTACATTCAACATTAAAAATATAGAATTAAGAAATAACAATACCAAAACCATTTAAGCTCATTTGAAACATGCTGAAAAGTAATTTAAAATTCGTGAAGATTACATACATGTAGAAATAATGTACTTCAAGAAGATCTGATGTCCTTTTACTCTCTTTACCGTAGCGTGTGTGTTTGGTGACGACTTAACGCATTAAAAACTGGTCGGATCACTTAAACCTCTTCACTTTACTCGGTCCCCTAAATTTCTTGCCACAGAGACCTCGTCATAAGTCCACACTTACTACAGATCCCAGTGTAGCTCATGATTCCATGTAAAGTTGTTTTGGTAATAAAATTATCGGCCCTGTGTGACGTAAGCCATTGTTGCTTTAACAGGACTGGTTATAGGCACTAGCAACAAGAATTACACGGATAATGCGTATGTATGTGTGACCACTCTGACAAATCTTCATTTCCTTCCCTTAATGTTATCTTCAGTCTTGAAATCCGTGCTTTGGGTAATTTATTGTTACAGGTAAACGGCAAATAAATGCATAATCCCCCACTCAACGGGTGGGAGCCACGTATGCCTTCAAGATGTGAAAGCAGCTGACTCGTGACTCGTCACTAGAAGTTCTGGGAAGAACTACTGCAGATTTTAAACCTTTTCGCGAGTATTCGCATACATTTATATCCTAAAACAAGGGCTGAATATTATGTCTGTAAATATATGTCCATAACTTCTGCTTCGAAGTGTGAAATCATACACAGATTACTGTCTTCTGGGTCATTGCGCCGTGTAGTCTGGCAGAAGTTTACTGGCGTTTCTGAGATGCTAACTGCCCTGAAGATAAAGGCAGCAAGCACCTACGAATCTTCGGCAAACTTCTACCACAATACACGGCGCAACATTCATCTACTTTCACAATTTGAAGGGTATACTTTCACAGATGAATAACAAACACATCAGTTACGTATTTTACGTAAAAATTCTTAAATTATATATTTACATAACTGTCTTCAAAGGTTAGAGTCTCCGACAAATGTGCATTTTCACATTTTCAATTAACTAGTTCTACTGAACAGAGTTCCTCTTCAGGAGAATCGCTTAGCTAATAAAAAAGACTGCCGTCTTTTATGGAACACAAAACCCGCTATCGTGTCCACAGTAGCCCGAAAAAATTCCACGGTGTGTAATATTTAGCTGGCGTTTGCCGGTGAGTAGTCAGCCCTCCGTCCAACTCATAATGACCGCGCTTGGTTCGCGAATGCTCATTCAATGCATTTTGGGCTACCCTCGAAGGTGGTCATGGTCTATTTGAAGACACAACCCTATAATCCACTTACTGACAAAATTCAAGCAAACCTAGATTAAAGGAGCCGATTTGCGAGCAGAAATTTGAACTCGGGGTCTTCAGAATAAAAAAGTAGGGACACTAGCCAATCGACTGCTATATTTAATTTGTCCACGAGATTTAAATTTACAGTCACTTAATATGAAT